TATTAGTTATGTGCCATTATATCATAATAGATAAATGATCTTCACAATATAAGTAGTTCCTGACTTGTAGGGGTTGACATGAGAGGTACCTGTGTACCCAATCTATATTCACACATACTGGCACTTGAAAATCCTTTTTGATTCTTGAATAAATTCAACAAAATATTTTCTATTTATGAGTAAATTATTAATAAAAAAAAACCAAGCAGTACCTACATTAATTTATAGCCGAATATTTTTAAATATTTATGCTATAACTATTGTTCACTGAGGATAAAATTTTAAGTACACTAAACATTTTAATGTAATATGTAGTATGTGCTTTAATTTTGAATTTTTGGTTACTAAATTAATGTAGGTGCCATTAATAACATTTATCCGACCTTTTTACATTATAGTATCATTATTTTTTAACATATGCATTTAAAAATATATATGGTGATTTAATTTATGTCTGTACGCAACAATGTCAACGATGATGTTCATCTAAACATATGAGGAATAGCTGCTTACCAAGTATTTATTTTCTAAAAATTAGGTAATACCTATTTTATCATAAGTTGTGTTTACATTTCACCACATCATTCATCTTTATATACTTACATAAGTTTATTTGCTGCATTCTGAACATACTATATATTTCAAAACTCGCAGGCAATTTAATTTTGTTCGTTGACATTAATGAATTCCGGAAAAAAAAACAAAAATTTAAAATTTTTAAATTAGTAATTTACAGATATGATTATTAATCACCAGTGACATTGTACATAAAGCTTTAAGTACATTAACACCAGATTCACTTGCAGCATGATTATGTGTTTTAGTCGCAGAAGGGTCAGTTTTTAGAATACTAGTCCTTAGGATTCCAGGAAAATGTATAGTATTATTTGTTGAACATTTCCAAGTAAAATAATTTTTTCTTTTGTACTTGATTATATAGTATACCCTTCAAAGGCTTTTGTCCACCATGTTCATTGAATTTAAAAATTTCCATTTAAATAATATTTACTAAACTTTTCACGTACAACTGTCGACAAACTAAATTGTTTATAATAAAATGATAATACGGAAACTGGATATCCTAACACGGCCTTATAAAATACCATGATTTATATTGGATAATTGATATAAATTACAGTCTTGTACCATTGATTATAGAATAATCTATTCTATTCTATAATCAATGTTAGTAAAGTGTCACCGATGATTAATAATCATAATTGTAAATTATTAGTTTAAAGATCTTAAATTGTTGTCCATTTTTCCCTTGTTCTTTTTTTCCATTGATCTACATGGTTGTTCTTTTAGATTCTGAGCGAAAACGAGGGCATTATGCAATATTAATAAAAACGGTCAGGAATACTGAATAATACAAAAACATTAAATGTGTTTATGCCAACTAGGGAGGTACTTTAGAAAGGTATTTTTTTTGATTTCCCTAAGAGTTTTCCCAGTAAATGTGAAAAACCGGAATAACACATTGGAAAACCAGGAAAAACGTAGGAAAACTGGGAAAATCGGTACATCACTAAACACATATTATTAAAGAAAATATATATAAAGCCTATTTAATTATTTTACTATAAAATGCCATATATATTCTTGAAAAAGCATCACTATCAACTGGACTCCGCTCAGAATCATTTTTTCGTAATTAATGGTTTATCGACGGGTTTAAGGCCCGTTAGACGGAGCCTTCGTCATACCGACCACTATATATGTTGAACACAGCAGGAAAGCTTTTTGAGAAGATTATAGATGCTAGAATTCGGGACTTCCTGGAAACGAATAACTGTTTAGCCTCTAACCAATACGATTTATGCAGAGGGCGTTCCATAGTTGACGTAGCAACCAGGCTGAGGGATATAATAGACAAATTTAGCGGAAACGTGCGAAGCACGGTTGGCCTCTTAACACTGGATATACGAAATGCCTTTAACTCGGTACCCTGAACTGGAATTGTCAAAGCAGCTACAGCAAAAATGCTGCCAACGAATATGTGTCAAGATTAAACGACTCCTAGAATATGCAGCCTAAGGAGTAATAGAGTGGCCAAAAGAAACAGGTATCGAATTGGCGATTCTCAAATCGGAAACCATACTGCATACAAAGAAAAGAAAAGACAACCAAATTAATATAGTTGTACGAGGCTATTCAATTTAGCCAATTCAATATTTTGGCCTATACTTTGACAGAAATCTTAAATTCAAGGAACATGCCCATTTGGTAACCAACAGAACAGATGATGCAACGAAATAATCCACGAATAATGCCAAATACTGTGGCGCAAAATCCTATAGACGGAAGCTCCTTGAAACGGTTTCGCAGAGTATTATACGATTGCACATACAATTTTCGCATTTTTCTGTGATCAACTTTTCTACCAGACGACTTGCTCCAAATTATAATGATAGAAATTTTTCTGAAAGAAAATTTCACTGAGGAAATAGGTACTTTAGAGAGATCGTTTTTACACGGTTTTAAGGTCACTTTGCACAGTTATAACCGGGTTCACTGACTGTCAATAATTAATTTTGCAGAACCCTGAATTATGTCTGAATACTATTAACACGAGGTTCATTGTTAGCTGTTATACTTAAGCAGAGTTTCCATTGCACGGTGCACGGTACAATGGAAACTTGGCTTTAGTGGTCGCAGAAAATTTTTTTTTCAGCGGGATACAGTAGCAAGGTTCTTTTTTTACATCTAAATAATGTCGATTAAATACTGTTATTTTATGAAAACAATTTTTTTCCTCGTCAAATTTATTTTCTAAAAATAATTACTTACCTAATTTTATTATTTAGAAAATAATATTGTATTCGTAATGTTTATTTACATCACGTGCTATTTAATCTGCAACTACATGTAATAATAATAAATATATTAGCCAATAAATCATAAGGAAAATTGCGAAATTATTCTGATACCTAAAGGTATCTACGTACTATTATTTGATTTTTGGTGTGCAAATAATTGTGTAACGTCCGTATAGGTTCTACGTGACTTTTCGTATGCATTTTAATATTAACTATTGTACTTCCTACATATAATTATATAAATATTAAACAGTATCTAAAAAAACAGGAAATTAAAAGTTGAAATAAAATACCTGTAAATATTTATCGTTGGCAGTAAAAATCTAATATGACGTGACCAGTGAAATAACAGCAGGATAATAAGATAATATTAATAAAATAATAATGAATATACTGTATTAATTATTAGATTCTGGGTGGGACGAAAAATCTTTTGGTTTTACAAAGATGTTTATTTTTTTTCCTATCTGTTAACAACTTTTCTACCAGAAGACTTGCTCGGATTTCTAAATGTAGCATCTTTTCTGAAAGAAAATTGGTGTGGGGAGGTACTTTAGGGAGGTTATTTTTCAATTTTCTAATGAGTTTTCTCAGAAAATGTGAAAAACTGGGAAAAACATAGGAATAGTAGGGAAATCAGTACAACATTAAATTAATATTATTAAAGAAAATATATAGAGCTTATTTTATTATTTTACTATAATATGACATATATATTGTTGACAAAGCATCACTATCAACTGAACTCCGCTCAGAATCGTTTTTTCGTAAGCAATGGATTATTGTTGCTTACAGGTATAGGAGGTTAAATTACCTACAACACTGGTTGCACCTGTCCTCATTATCCTAGGATGTCTTTTTTTTTTTTTTGTTATTCAGTTTAAAATAATCGTATAGATCTCAAATTGTCACTGAATACTTGCATTTAGTCACATTAGTAATTCATATGCATGGCCAATATATTTTCCAACACATTCTTATGATTTTGTGTTATTTATGGCTATTTGAAATTTTCTAGTTTTAAAATTGTAGTTATTTTTCTTTGGCTAATCGAAAATGCTCAAATAATCTGATCAAGGTTCTTCATAAATTGTTATCGGTGTTATCAGAGACTGTTCACTTCTTTATAAAGGGTGGATTGGGGGTGTATGGGTTTTGTAAAGCTATAGGAAGTTTTGTTGTTGGATTGGTTATATGACAGTCAGTATCAGTTAGATTGGTAAATAACTTGTGCTAGTACTGTAGTAGTACTAATAATTAGTTGTTTTGGTTTGAATATGGTTGATAATATTATACAATTAATATTTAATGAATAATATAACATTTATATTACTTAAAACAAACATTTTGTTTAATCATAGTCAATGATTACTAACACTGTTTTTTATGTACCTGGTATAGTTTATTATCTGGTGATAAATGTAAAGTATGTACCTAGTTAAAAATGTTGGTAAACTATAGCCGAAATATCGAGATAAATAAAATATATATCGACTACAGAGGTACTTGTAAGTAACATTTTATATTAAATGAATTTGTGAATAATTAGAAAATGAATAATTTAAAACTACCCTATGTATATATATATATTATTTTGATGTGCTATTTAATCTCAAACGGTTTCTTCAGACAATTTATATTAATATTATGCTTATGCATTATACAGTTATAATTCCTGATAAATACTTCAATACAATTGTGTGTGCTTATATTCTATTCAATGGGTATAATTATTATAAATTGGATACTTATAAAATGTAAGTTAAATAATAAAAAACAAAAAAATAACTACAGTACAAAGTTTCACCAAATCAGTCAACAAATATATTTTTTCGATAGAAATGAGATACATATTTTACTAAAATATAACGAGTTCAATAACTAAAACTTAAATTTTAATTGTATACAATTTATCACGCTTTTTAAAAATTAAACAACTAAATATTATGATTTACATAGAAAAAAATATTCAATTTTATAATGTATACCAGTTACCTAATATAAACAGATCAAATTTAAGTTACTACTTTATAAAAAATAAACAAAAATAAAAGTTATAATTTTAAAAACTGTAAAATAAATAAATAAAATAAATGAATCGACTAATATGAGAATACAAATACAAAAATTTAATTTATCAATATATAATATTATAGATTTATGTCATGAAAGAACATTTAATTATTTATTTTTATTTGTAAAATTTATTTTTCGATTGTATAAATTTACTTCAAACATCTGGAAACCGTCATCAGTAAATGAGAATCCAAAAAATACAATGCAACACAAAAGGCACCAGTATTGAAAAAGTGATGACGTTATGATGAAATAAATAACCAGAATCTAAATAAAAATTCAATACAAATTTGTTATAAATAGGAGCTATTAAATAGTTTAAAACATTAGTATTATAATTATTATTGTACCTGAACTAGAGTCCAAAAAAAAATAGCTAAATATAGCGCATTATTTATAGGTTGATAATTGTTATCTACAGTTGGAGAATCTAATGAAAATGAAGAAACATTAGTAAAATAGGCTAATCTTTTTTCTTTTTCCTGCCATACGTTGTTTAACCATATCTTTAAATCCTCACCATTTATGGGCAACTCTGATTCGTCATACCTATAAAAAATAAGAAATACATTAATAGGGTAATAGATACTATAATTATACAATAATATTAGGTATAGCATGTCTATGATCTGTGTAATATCTGTTTTAATAATAAAATATTATTTTTCACCATCTTTGTTCTCGGATGCATATTGACAATATCACCTGAAAGGCGTTTAAGGTTTTATTAAAAGAATAGCAAGTGAGTTCAAACTCTCCTGCTCTCTGAAATCACTTTTCTGTTCTCTCGTCAGGCGTATAGTTGAACATGACTCGGTTGCTTGGGATCTTCAGACTGCAGATGCTTGCAAACAATTTCAGCATCTCCAGAGCAGATTTCTCAGTTTCGTAAAATATACTCTTAATATTAATTGTGTAACAATTACACCCCCGTTCTCCATTTTCTAAATCTCACTACCTTACCCGATTGTCGTCACCATCATTATAAATCTCCAAAAACTTCAGCTCAATTGACTCTCCTTCCATACTTGAACTTGTAAATTTTAAGGAAACAACCAGAATCAACCAAAATTATATTCTTTTTGTTACTTTGCACTACCCAACCAATTATTTGAGAAACGAGCCTCTCTCCATGATAATGAGTATAGCTAATAATGATCCACCATTCCTCCTTTAGGTTAATTTGTTATTTCTGTTTTTAAATTTTTGTGTATACCCTACCTTGTCAAATTGTACTATAATTTTTTTGAAAAAATTCAAAATAGCTATTTTATAAAATAAATGTATAGACAATTTTTGGTGGTTGAAACTTTTGTTAAAGTATGGTCTTTTATTTTCTATGATTTTTTGAAGTTTTTGCAAATGTGAATAATACCTATTGTGGTTATTTAGTTATCAGTTATTAGTCAGGATTTTCTTTTCCACGAGTTAATATCAATCAATAATAGTAATTTATGTTGATTAACAATATTGTTATGATTGAAAAGAAAATTATTCAAATTTTCAAAAAAATTATAATACAATTTTAAATTTTTAGGAGGCTCCTCCTCCTAAAATAAATTGATATCAAAAATATTGAATAGAACAAAATTTATTGCATTGTGCAATAATATTAGATATAGGCATATTATATTATGATGCGAAAAATATTTCGTGTTTCATTATTTATTCCAAATAGATCCTCGAGTTCGGTTCTACACCGGAGAGGGCTCAAAGTTGGCCTCTTTTGGTCCGTCGTCAGCCGCCGGGCCAAGTTCGCCGAATTTCAGACTCCACCGAAGACTTTCCCAAGATGTCTATTTTTAGACGCCCAATCAGATATCCCCACGACCATGTCACCGCCTTGATAACGACCCGCGAGTTTGTGTCGCAATGAAAATGTTTACGTGGGTCGGTAACCCTCGGGCGTCTCGCAATCGTACTTCTGTCCGTCTGTCTTGTGCGTAATATTATGTACCTGGTGGTTTTCAAACTTTTTCTTGGCCACGGTACACTTCGCTTTTCACAAAACGTTCACGGTAAATTGTGACCTTTTTTTTGTTGTTTTGTTTCGTCAATTTTTAATTTTTTGCATACAATTAGAACTAATAACAAAATCGATGAGTCATACTCAAACGAGTTATAATCTGGGGAATTACGATTTCGTACCTAACCGGCGGCCCGTCACAATTTAAGGAAAACAAATTCCAAAACACCTAGTGAATATTCGCGGCACCCAGTTTGAAAATCACTGTTATATACACAATCTGCCTGATGGCAGGGGCGGATTGGGCCACTGGGAGTTTTCATCCAAGTTTTTACGAACATCGAAATCAGAACCGTACGGGATATAAGAATCTCTAGGCGCTGCGGCAGAATGTGCCGTTCCTTATTGCTTATCGTTAAAGACCGGATTTACGTTATGCTCTTAAAAACGAAAAATAAGAGGTGGATCCGCCCCCCCCCTTCTAATGGCTCTAACTTATAAAACTTGAGTTTCTAACGCTGAACAATTATCAACGCAAAGTAATCTTTAGGTAATCTCTATTGGTTTTGCTACGCGCGTTTTTTCCCCGTCTGTTAATCTGTTAATTCCGTCTGTACATTTTCGTACAGAAAACTTGATCCAATCGAAACATTTCACGGTGCTTTTTTTTTTGTTGTATTTTGCAACTAGCCGGTGCATTAGAGAGGTTTTTTATTTTTAAAATAATAGGGAAAAACAGAAATTACAATTATAGGATAAATATTATAAAACGGTAAATATTTACGGCGCGCCACGGCGTCAATGACTTTATCGTTTTTAATTTATAAGCACCGTGTGTTCAATTAGGCATATTGCTTTAATCAAAAAATGCCACGATTTAATATATTATTTTATTTTATTCGTGATATAAATTATCTAGTCCTTATCTGTAATGGCCACTGGTAAAGCATTTTCAGTTCTCGCTTTTGATGAGTACAAAACTCGCCACAGCCACATTAGAGCGCTAGCTGTAAGTTCAAGAACAAAGAACCATTGATAAGTACTCGTTGTGTATCCTATGTATCCTTAATCGTGGTTGTGGACACAATATTATTGAGATAATTTCAATACATGCAGTTGAGGTTTGGCTGGGATGAATTTTTACCATTGCGTGATTGATGACGTAGGTATACGGCATAAAATAATACCTCGGTGTTAATATTTAGTCGATATTCGTGTGTCAATTAATGACGGAGTTTTGAAAAAAATTTTAAAAATTACCTTTTAATGTGGAAATGCACATTTTTTGGAAATACACCTTTTAAAGCGTCCATTTCAGTTTGTGGTATTAGATCTGGATAACCAACAGTCAAATCATACACTGCATTTAATTGTTTATCTATAAAAATATAAACATTAATATGGACCTGTTAAAGTAGGTTATAATAATGCATTTTACTTGTGCGCATAGTATCAGCAAGAAAGACAAAGCCAGTGGTTTTTGGATGAAGCACGTATTTATAATTAGGAAGATTATTTTTATCAGCGTATTTGTTACTACGTGCAATATTGTTTGGTGATAGATCTGTTCCTTCAGGGAACAACAAAATCTATAAATACATATGTATATATGACTATAATTACAGTATAGCATAACATACGACATTTAAGTGCAATTTTATTACTAAAACATCTATAAAATATTCAAATAACAAAAAAAAAAAATTATACATGCAGTCAAGTCACAATAACTCGAAGTTAAAAGGGGATAAAAATTCACTTTATAATGTATACATGATATGTATTATTCGAGATATCTAATTCAAATTTATCAAAATTAAATCAAAACTTTGAGTTACGTAATGAAATATAATTTTAAAATTTTATGATAAATAACATAAATGTTATAAAAAAACTAAAATAGATATAATGGTATTATAAGTATGCACATATGTATTTTTTATTAGATACAGTAGACACAAATCAGTGTAGGGAGGTGCTTTAAGGAAATTATTTTTTCAATTTTCTCATCAATACTTCGATTAAACTATTTATCACGATTTTATTATCGAATTAACAAAACTTATAATACATTGAGTGTTATGAGAATTTCTAGGGGAATAAAAAAAAAAATCAAGTTTTCAAGTTTTTTGAGTTATCGCGACTCAACTGTACATATATATATATGTATAGTGCTGTGTTTTTGATTTATTACATTGTATTGTAATTTTATTTTATTAACTGTGTATTGTGTCTAAAATAATATTTTTTTTACTTGATGAGTATCATTCAGATCACTAAAGTATTTCAATTGTTTTTTCATTGATGTCTGATCATGGTCCCATCGACGTTGTATGTACAAAAATCCACATAATTGCATTACCCAACCGGCAAACGGTACATGTCGAATAGCAGACTTTAAAATCATTTTCAACTTGTGTGCAGGCGGTTCAGCGCTATAATACATACCGGCCCACAAAAAGTTCCAGTCCAATCTATTACGGTGGTTCATTATAAGTAATGCACCATCAAGAGGATTGATGCGATCTCCAGTTATTATAAAACGTGTGTTGAACAACAGTCTCATCAATACCTGAAAATTAAAGTGTGTAGTTCAAAAAAATTACAAACCTAACTGTTATTTACTAACTGTGGGATACATTTCCCACACTGAGAATATGGTTCCCATGAAATATCGAAAAGCACGAGGATAAATAAACATCAAAGGTATTGTCGGACAACAAATGCCGAGAAATCCACAGGTAATACTTAGATACCATAGTGTGATGTATGCAATCCCTCGCCATTCCATTTTCAATATGTTTCACTGCAAACAAATTTCAAATTATGATGATAACTAACAATTTAAAATATAGGTGTAAACAAACATGCAATGAAAAATACCAAGCCAAGTACAATAAGCAGTTACATAAGTGTTTAGATCACGACGGACAAAATAACTACATTCAAATGTAAAAACACATAATAAATAATAAACAAAAAACAAAGTAAAATATTCAGTTAAATGTATTTTATTTTATGTTATATATATATATATATGTATATATATATATTTATATTTATAGATTATTTTGTTCATTTGATAATTAGTTAATCTATTATAAATAAAAAAGTAATACACAAATGCAAAGAATATAATTTTGCTGTTTGAAACTTATTAATTCATGTTTGTTAAAAAATATATTTTTAACTATATAATTATTGATAACACTATATTTTTGTAAATACTACATCATAAACTATTATAAAATTAAACCGGAATTGTATGGTCATCTAATCAATTAATTGATTAATTAATAAGATACAATTATTTTTTATTCAATGTTTTTGTAAAAAAGGGAATTGGTACACAAATAATTAAAAAAAAAAACAATATATGTATTTTAGGAGGTAACTTAGCAGTTTCTTATGGTAAAATCCTTATATAAAAAAAAAAATAATAATAATTCATACCTATTGAATCAAAATAAAACATAAATACACATATGTAGCAATTTTACCAACTCAAATTAAATTAAAATTAATAAATACGAACAAGAGTGGTCTACACAATTAAAATTAATAGTTAAAAGTACATTATATAAAATATAATATACTCAATAATAAAAAAAAGAACTCGATTTTAAATATTTTTATGTGATGGGTACTTAAAATTGTAGATAATTATAAACCAAAAAAAAAAAAAATACTAAAATATGTTGACCATTTAATAGATCCTAAACTTTTTTATATTTTAAATATTTCTTGAGAAGTTGATTGGCTTCAGCATCAGTTTCTTTGTCCTAAAAAAAAAAAAATGGTTTTTGTGGTCTTTGAAAATGCAAATTATTATTAGATTAGATGGATAATATTTTACTGACCTCAGAATCTTTGACAGGAAGCTTCAATGCTTGTTCCAACCAATGAACAGCGGTATCATATTCATTTTTTGTTATATAACACTTGGCAAGATGCAGACGGCAGTCTTTTAATTGAATCGGGGATTCGTTTTCAAATTTTAAAAACAGTTCAATAGCTTCGGCTACCGTACCCTTAGGAACTTCTTCATATAACCAACTGGCGATACGCCGATCAAAAGACGACAATATGGCAACCTTAAAAATTATTTAATAATTAAAACATTTAAAATTCAAATGAAATAATCAATAAATAATTACTTCATATTCAAGTTTTCCTTTTAAATAATATAAGGTCGGATCACGATTATTGATTTTTATTGCTTCATTTATATGATTTTGAAATATATAACCACCTTCAATTTTTTCTTTAGTAGACCCTAACTGACCCCGTGCTCCACTGCATATAGCAAACCATTTATGTGCATTGCAATTTCCTGGGTACATTTCTAAAGCATGCTTTGCCCACTTAACTCCTACAAACAAGAAAGTTGAACATAACAATCAATTTTGTGTTTTAAGTATTACGAAAGTTTCTTACCTTCATCAATAACTGATTTACTCTTTTCTGTATTTTTTTTTGCTGCAGTATAATATTTGGATACAAACTGACACGATTTCGCCAACCTCCATAATACCTCAATATCATCTGTTCGCTATAACAAATAAAGATAAGATGTCAATTAGTTTAATATTATTAGCAATGAAAACAACACTACTAATAATGCATTTACTTCTTCATTAAGATTCACCAAAATTTCATATGCTTTAAGTTTATCTTCATCAGAACCCTCAAATAATTCATCTACTTGATCAAAAATATCGTCACTTAGTATGGAAGGCCCAGTATGTTTGCTAAAATTGTCTGTAGATGAATCACCATCTTGACTTTGGATTAAATTAAATATAAACATTTTTTTTTTTTTTTTTTCAAAGAATAAAATATAAAAATAAAATTATTTACGTCTCATTGAGCATGTTTGAATGTTGAGATTCTTCATTTTCTGATGACATGTCGTGATATTCGTCGTCGGTTCCAAGTGCTGTATACAAACTCGCTTCACTAGTTACACTTGTACTACTAGATAAGGTTAATGTTTTTCTAGATTTTGTTATGTTTTTCCTAAAAGGACCATAATTTAATTTTTCAATAACTCATGGTAAATTCAAAACGCATTGGGAACATTATGAATATTATTTTACTTTAATAATTTAAATTCTGCTTGAAGATCTAGTAATGCAGTATTTAAGTCATCAACTTCTTGTTTTAATAATAGTTTTTCTTGTTTTTCTAGCAGTCGAGTTATAAAAATTACCCCAACTGAACCAACCGTAATTCCAATACCAACTGCAACAGCTATTACTCCCTTTAGCCAATGCGTATCTGTTGACATTACATTCGGTGTTCCTACACAATACAATAGTCAAAAACAAGAACACAAGCACCCAATGCTTCTATAGCAGATCATTATACAGTTATGCAAGCTTGTAAATTATATACAATTGTAGGTATAAGAATAATACAAAATAATAAATACAATCTGATAACAAATAGATTTTTAAAATTTACATAGTTAGATGATTTAAATTATTTTAAAATAAGTAGATACAATGAATTATTGATTCATGAACAATTTATATATACGAGTTAACATTATTTTTCAAACAGTTATAATATTTCATTTTGTACGTAAATGAAGAAGACTCAGATAAATTTTGATTTAAAATTGTTTAGTTTAAATTCTAAAGAAATAAAAAATATTTTGAGTATATTTTTATGTATTAACATACTATAGGACAACGCTCAAATTTGTGTATACATATTACCCTTTTTAAAGAACACAATATGTACTATCTAATGCTTTTATTAGAAATTAAAACAGAAAATTATATAGCTATATAAATACAAATTTTAAGTAGTATGTTATAAGTAATTTATTTATAATAAGCAGTTTTTATTTTTTAGCTGGACTCTGTTCTTTTATAGTTTACTCATTAGAAAAGTAATATTAATAATTTATGGTAAGTATATCGATATGCACAACCCATTCTAGTTTTATATATGTCTATCTGTGTGAAAAATAATAAAATTAATTCAAATGATTTAATGCACAAGGTTATATTATAAATTACAATTTGCAATTGGGTATAGTAACAATTCATTTTTAATATTAATGAGTTGAAGAAATTAAAATTATTTTTCAAATGAATAAGGTCATTTGAATACAATTGTTTATATATATATATATAGGCACACAGAAACAAAAATACAATAATTCATTACAATTATTTTTGGTTATATAGGAAAAAAAAATTGAAAGATTATTGATATCATTTTAAAATGAGTTGAAGCACAAGCAAATAGTCCCAGTAAGTATTTAGACAGCATTTCAATATACCCAGTTAATGATTTCAAGAAGTGTTAAAACAAGTACGAAAACCAATATTTACAATTTAGTTATCTTTAGATAAAATGGCCCTAAGGCTGACCTTACAATGTCCCATGTTTGTTTAGTACTAACCAACACTCACTCAATTATAGATAAAATATCAGTTTACAACAAAAATGACCACCGGTTAGTGCTAATAAACACTTTATAGAACATTGTAAGGTACACATTGATCCAATAAAATAATATAGAATATATTTAAAAAAATGTTAAATTATTGTGATATTTTTTTTTGTAATTGTGTGAAATAATTTAGTTCTAGTGAACTTTAAAGTACAAACAAATTAAAGTACAAACAAATATTCACAACACAAATAATCACTCAAAATACCATTTAGATGTAGAGATTAAGTCATTATAAAATAAAAGCAAAAGAAATAGTTGATGATCCCCAAAAAAATACATGAAAACTCATATTGGCAATTTTCAAGTTAAAACCAATGTCTTTATTAATGCATTTGTTAGTATACTATAAATTAATATGTATTATTAAAATATAATCAAAAAAATTGTTCTACATTGTTAATTTTATTAAATATAATTTTTTTTTTTTTTATGGCACCTTAGTATATACAAAAACAGCTCAAATTAATTTACCTCGGGCCTCGTTTGGTTAAAATTAAAACTTAATATTATAATATTTACTTTTAGTTTAAATTTGTGTGGATTGTGCCCAATGAGCTCTAAATTTCACAATAAAAATATTTTTGAGAATTACCTACCGTGATTAATATTAAAATCTATTAGATTTAACCAGCTAATATTATTATATAGCACCTACCTTTTTACTAAATAATATGTATAATATAATCATGGCTTACCTAATTGATATTTCCAAAACTATATTAGGTGTCTATGTAGTTTTAAGCATCTTCATTTATTATTCCAAATGTTTAGTTATATTATAAAAGATAAATTCAAACAAATTATTTAATTTTCTGAAAAGAACTGAACGATTTTTTTTATTGTAAATTTACATAAGTATTTTATTCATATCAAAAGTACTTCAACATATTTATACAGTTTATCTCAAGTTTTACAGATAATATTTTTAGTTATTTAGATATGTAGTATTCTAGTTACATAATTATTGTATTTTATCAATACATTTGATAATTTTATTAGTATTTTATTACTGATGTAAGTATAAAACTAATTAACTTTTAATTCAATAAGTACCTCATTATAAGCATATCATAAACATTAATGTACACTTAGTACAAAATAGTCTAAAAAAAATAATGAAACCAAGTACTTATATTATTTTTTTCAAAAATAATTCCAAATGGATTATGTCACTAGTTATGTCATATAAATGATTACCATATTATGTAAATTATATACTGTGTTGCTAACAATTTAAATATTTAATTTATCTTTACAGTAGGTAGGGAGTTTTTTTTATGTAAACTTGTCGTGTACCTATAAATTTGTCACATACAACAGTTTTTTTTTATTTCCAACAGGAAAAAATAATAAAAATATAAATACCTCATATTAATATTTATTTATTTATTTTTAATATCAGCTATATTAGGATTATATGACATTTATAGGTAACTAGGTAGTTAATGTTATTACAAATTTGAAATGATAATATTACCTACTAATTAAATAACTTGTACCTAGGTACCTTTACCTAATAATAAAATTAATTATTAGTAGTGAGTATCGGCACAAGAAAATATTGAAACATTATATATTGGAATTTTTCCAAACCCAATATTTCCAGGGAAAATTGTCTACAATTGTCTCTGGAATATAAAAATTCATTCAAAAAATAAGGCTTTAACTGATATATATTAATTTCAACAACTTATGGTTTTTGATTTCAAAAACCGAAATGGTAATTGGTACCTACCAAATATCAGACATCTACACACCACTATAAATTATATTGAGCACGATTAATGTTTTTAAAAGTATAATACTCAAATAATGAACAATAATAATACAATAAATAACCCTTATGTTTAAAAATATGTCCGTCGTAACACAAACAAAGTATAGGATTATAGGTTAATATTTATTCTACCACATGAAATAGGTAATATAAAGCAATAGGTAAGTATGCAGCATATATGGTTAATAATAGGCGGGCAATGTAAGCAATATTTGAAATTCAGGCCAAAACAATTAAATATAAAATATAACATAGATATTGTATTGTATTGTATTGTATAATAATACACTTATATTGAACAATGTATGCATTTATATTAATATATATTAAACTGTGTCCGCGAAAACTGGGTTAACTCAATAGGTTAGTTACCTAACATTCAGCACTCACTGTACAATATAGTAAAAACCGTGTGTATTGATTTATGTTCCACTAGTGGGATTAAAATATATAATACTGAGGGCACTGAGCTACTCTTCAGTGTATCCTGTTTTCGCGGGCACACGGCATATTATTATCTGTTTAGGTAGGATATTCGGAAAATTACAACTTGATTAATATGTACTTTCAAATTTATGTCGTTTTAGAAGGAAAAAAAACACAAGACCGTTTATAGACATATTCGAAATTCGTGCTGTTAAATTATTAAAATATAATAATATTATAATGGATTCTTAGTAAAAAAGAAGTATTAATAATTTTCATTAGTCACTTACCCTTACGTCCGTTTATTAACGTGTGCGATTGTATTGAGGTCATATGCTGAACACTAACCGCAATGATACACCGCCGAATTATCTAAACTCTAAAGATAGCTAACTTCCAACCGAATTCAACAAGCGTAATTTACGGAAATTATAATTAAATTACGAGTTAATAAAAACGTACACAAAAAGAAACCTTACAGAAACTTGACAGAAAAAACAAAACGTGTTATCTGAAGTTACCAAAGTTAGCCACATTTAAAGGTATCTACCGGATACGGTTAGATGTTAGTAACATTTATAGATAATACGGATATTGTTGATAATTTATTGTCCGTTCAAATGTTCAATTTGAAATTTGATTGTTTTCGATATTTTTTTTTTTTTAATCTGAAACTATAACGTTAAAACACTCGGTAAATAAATGCACATTAATACATTGTTTTTCATAAGTATGTTAATAATGTATTATGCGTACGGCTGAACGAATAATGACGGTATAATCAGTAATATTACTAGCTATTTATCGTCTTATCAGAATGTGTATATTCTATGATTCTATATACATTCTACTATAGTTTTTAATTTATGTATTTTTTATTATAAATTTGAACTCACTATCCCTTATCACAAGCTATGTTTGTTGTCAATATGTTTATTTTTCCCGTAAAAATTAATGTATACGCTGTTGTTATTGACAAACAAAGATTATTATTATTATTAATGACCGGGTTACGACAATAGTACAATACGACCATTCATGTCAGTGATGTCATCATTAACCATACGTGTATGAAAAAAACCAATGGTACATTTTTAAAAAATGTACATTATATGGACTTGACTTTGGTGGTAATTTTTGACATTAACCTAGTTTTAAGCAATTCTGCTGATCTGCTCTAAAATCCGTAAAACTTTACCAAAAACTATGAAGTTTTGTATACATGATGAATTATGCCGTATTTAAATAATCTGTTAGTTTCGTTAGTACAGTACTACCTGCTATTGAGCTAAAGTTGTTCGTGGTCCCAGTTCAGCAATTCAGCAAATTGGACTGACCCCTGTTGGGTTCAGAAAATCAATTTTACTTATTAAATTTAATTATGGTGCTTGTACTTTGTGTTTTTTTAATGAAACACTGGCGTCAAGTTAAGGTGAGGGGGAGCGGAGAGATGAACAATAAATTGTATCTTAATTTATTTAATGTAAAAACTGATGACGAGGGCCGATGGTACGCAACGAAATTTTTTTGTGGTGGATCATTAATGTCCTGTATAGATCCAAAGAGGCTAGTGGGACACACTAAATTGTTGATTTTCTTAATAAATATATATAGATTATATAATATATATATATAGACTTGATATATTATTGGTAATTTTGAATTAAATATTTTAGAATTAAAAACGGAAGAAAAACTCGAGGAGGTCGGTCTAAATAGTAAATTTCCAATAATCTGGATATGGGTGTTTAGTTCAGTGGCACATTTAAATCCTAATCAGTGGGTTATCAAATTATTTATCAATGGCAGACTGAAAAATGATAACAGCAAAAAGCTGTGGCAATGTTTGAATTTTTGATTTTTAATTACAGAATACAGAGAGTGGCATAGTGGCATAGAGTTTCAATTTCAATCTCGACAATTTAAAGAAAAAAACTTTCGATGGCGAAGTCGTCGCAAAAGGTGCTGCTTGGTTTTGTAGATGAACCCATTACCGAAAGCTATGCAGACGATACGTATATGGTAAATAAAATCGGAGGGTTGCCTGTAAGTAATTTTCTTATTAAATTAATAATTATTAAATCCATTTTTATTTTTTAATAAAAATACTATTGTCCTTAGGATAATAGACAGAACCGTAATTTGTTACCAAAATGTCAACTGTGCAATCACCAAGTGCCTTTACTCGTTCAGATATATGCACCTCTTACTAATTCAATTTATCACAGAACATTATACATATACGCATGTATGAATCCAAGTTGTTGGAACAAATCTGAAAGGTATAATAATATTATATAATGTGTCATATACCTATTAAAAATATTAATTTATATTTAGTTGGATATGTATGAGACGGCAGTGGGTTGCTGATGCTAGTGTAAACCACATTGATGTTAAACAGCAGTCAGCGACATTTATAGAGTGGTGTGAAGATGCAGACAACTGGGGTGATGAAGCTGAATTCGAAGAAGAAAACGGCAATGCCATTGTTAAAAGTCAAGCAATCGAAACTAATGCTTTAGCAAGTGCAGAGTTAGAAAAATCTGATTGCGACGATAATGTAGTTGTTGAACCAATTGAATCACCACATACCGATGTTCTTCAGTTACTGGATAGTAGAAAAGAAATAATTTTAGTAAGTTTTACGATAACTGTTATACAGTTTTATTTATATACAACTTGTCAACTTGGTCCCTGATAACTTGAATCTAAAAGTGCATGTTAATGTCTTGTTTATACTCAGTGTCGGATCTAAGATATTTTTATGGGGAGGGAGGGATGCTATTATGTGCTATAATATTCTGTATAGTCTATCCTGATTATATGACTTTTAGTCCTAAAAAATGAATGTGCTTAATATTTAAAAAGATAGTTATGAGTGGAAACTTTAAAAACACACATCTAAAATAAATTCCTTTATTTTAAAAAAAATACTCTCTGTAATATAATGATAAAAAAATAAATGTTTAAATGAAAAATTAAAATTCCATCACATATTCATTATAATTGATAAACAATAAAATTCAATCAAAATTATTTGGTTATTTTGACTAATCTTCTAACTCCATCCTTTTCTTTTTTTTGCACAAATGTGGCAATAACTTGGTTTATTTCTATTACTATCTGTTTGTGTGTGTTTAATATAGCCAAACCGTTACTTAGACGTAACTCGGGCGTAGTGGATTATAACTAATTTTTTAACCTTTTTAAAGTTGAGAAAAATCTTTCCGCTGTGGCTGTAGAAACTAGTAACCTGATATAAAAGTATATTGATGTTGGGAAAAAATTTACTGCAGTGTTCTAACGCTTCAACTGAAATTTGTAAATTGTTTTAAATTTAGGCCCACTTGTTTTTCCACACATTTATTTCTGTAATTCTAATTCCGAACCCTTAATATCTTCATAATAAAATTTGGCAGATTCATAGAAACATTCCAGGCCTTCTAAAAATGCATGTATACGTATAGTATTTGTTTTAACCATATAGCAACATGCCAAGGAGGATACTATAGCTCCCTAGCACCCCTCTTTGGATCTGCACCTGTTTATACTAGGCTTATTAATAATCTTTAATAATTTCAACAGGAACACCATGATATGAATGTATATTTTGAACCATATTATATCTCTGTATTGTATGATTATAATGAATCAGCTGATGTAGTAAAAGAACATGCAGTTAAATTATTAAATAACTATAAAAATAATCAGCAGATGCTCGAAGAAAAAAACGAAGACTATGAAAAGAGTTTACCTGCTCATGGTGATAAATATTTCGAAACGTTTGCATCAAAATTAAGAAAAAATCCTGGACAAATTTTAAGGTTAGTTGCAATGAATTTATTTGTATCAAATCTGGAAAAATGAGAGTGCCTAATGTATTAGATGTAATATATGTATTCCATTTTCCCATTTGCCCATCTATCAAACTATTACAAAATTAAATATTTATTTTATAAATACTAAATTAATAGATCATTTTTTTTTAAATTTTTTTTTTAACAATTCAAATACATTTTGATAAATCTTTTTGTGATTTTCCTTTGCTTTTTAGAAAAATCAATACTTTCCTGTAATAAAATTAGGTCAAATTATATTCCTTAGATATACAATTAATCTTAAAAAAATATATAGTAACATCAGTTATTGGTATTCATTAATAGTTAAATCATAGTATTATTTGTACTGTAATTTTATTGTTTAAATAAAATAAAAATAGTTTTGAAAACTTGTGTTATTTAGATACTGTCGAGATGGGGGTAAACCATTATTTTTGTATGAAGAAATGGAACCAAATAAATGTATTAACTGCCAAGGTAAATTGTTATTTGAGTTACAAATTCTTCCATCATTAATTCCATATTTGAAAGTTGTGTGCGGAGAAGATCATCATGGTAGTGGTTACTTGGAATTTGGAACAGCTTTAATATACACATGTGAAAATAGTTGCTGGACTGAAGGTGATATTCATAAGTATGAATGTGTTATAGTTCAAGAAGAAAAATTATTTTAAATATTGTGCAATGTATTACACTGTTTATTAAAATACTTTTTACAAAAGTTTTATAGTGATTTTGTTTCAAAAATATATTTCTATTATTGTTTACTTATTGTGTTGTTTAGAATAAAATATGTGTAAAAAGTCATAGTTTTAGAAATTAAAAAATTATGCGATATATCATTTAAGGCTTGCAAATTTCTTATTAAAATGATATTATATATTATTATGCATTAATTGATGTTATTCAAACTAATTAAAAAGAAGAATTTTTTTAAAGGTACTACATTTATTTTGAAATTAGTACTCAGGTATTATGTCCCTTAAACTTTTTAGTAATAACAAAAAATGAGTAGATTTATCCTATTGATATAATAATTTGTTTTAATTATTTATAACATATAAAATTAATTAATATTGTAACAATTTAATGGATATGAAACTATTAATTATTTGTCTGTTATTGTTGAAAACTGAAAATTTCTCAACAACCATTTTCAGATTCAACATTTTTGAATGTTTGAATGTTGAAATATTTTTTTTTTTCATTTGCCAGCATGCATTTTCTTCAACATAAAAACCTCGCATCAAAAAAACATTTTATGTCAGAATAGAATAAGTGTGACTATACGCAAGCTAGTGCATGATGAAAATTAAAGAACACAAATTTATCTATGGAATAACATATCTGTTTAATTTATTATTATATTACAAAAAAGTTAAATGACAAGTCAAAATTCTAAAAAAACACTTCATATGGTACTTTATTCTGTTATCATATGAATTCTGTGGTTAAAGTGGGTAAAGAATTATTGTTAAAGGTAAAATTATTAGTTCACCATTAGTTTAAGTCTGAAATTGAGGGGAAACACTTTAGTTATTGTCACTAAAATATTTTACACATAATTTTCATAACTCGTTTTATAAAAATAAATTATTCTTTAAGTACCTATTGGATTATACATACTTAATCACACTCTGTTTTACCTTATTTTTATTTTTACTTAATATATGTAAGATTTTTTTTTTTTGGATGAGCGTTTGTAGTTTTTAAACATTATTAGAATAACATTTTTATAAACAAATATGTGTGGAAGAAAAACTTTTTTGAAGTGTTGTCTCCATGATGGGTTTCCTGAATGTTTGGTTGGGTCAAGTTCTCGGGAATGACACTCTCTAACCACTGAACATGGTTTCGAAGGAATTTCACGATTGTGTATTACTCAATAAATATTTCGATATTTCCGAGTTCATGCTAATTTTTTCTTTTAAATGTACCTACGTTAGAATTGCTGATACCTTACCGTTCTCTTAAATTATCTTATCTGACGCTGTAATGTCGCTGAAAAATATTTACCTGCTAAAACATTTGAACAGAAAATCAAAAAAAAAAAAAAAAATAGATATTTTTATTTGTATTATTGTAATTAATAAAATTATACACCGTGCAGAATATAAGATAATATAAAGAATATATATAGGTACTTATCAATATTAATAATTACTATTTTAATATAATACAATGTAAATTATTATAACGATTATCAAACACGATTAGATGAAATACGTACGACATTCTCAAATAACAAGTATAGGTATATATTAATATAAAAATTTTTATTTTTTTTTTTTCTCTACATTATTTTATTCAAAATTTAATGTCGTCGATCTCGTATGCCGTGCTATTATACACAGCATTACAGCAAAGAGGATCGCGCGCTTATCGTGGGTATCGTATACGTTGGACGGATAAAACTGATAAAAATTTACACGTCTTGTAAAATAATATATGACCCGAGACGGGAAGACGTGGACGTATATTATTAGTAATAATTATATAAAACGAAAAAAACCAAAAGCGAATTTAAACAGCAAAACAATAATAATTTTAGTGCGGTTATAACTTAGGCATACAGTTAGGTATTATGGAGAAGAAAAATATTGTGTTTTTATATTTCACATACGAGAGACTTAATAGTAGTTAATATTATATTTTTATCAAGTCGGTTACAATGCGGTTTTCCTATGTCATCCGTAACAATAATAATAGAAAAAAAAAAAAAGTATTTATATAAAAAAAACGCGGTGATAACCATGAAAATAACAATAATATGTACTTCTATAACTGTCTAACGTTAAAACAATAACCAAAACCTATTCTAGAGGGGAAATTATTGCTAACCAATAGCAAGTCGAATATTAAGACATTATACCTGTGTCAATTATAAAATAGTATAGTTCCATAATATTATACTTATATATATATATTTCTAAAAATACAAAATAAAAAAAATCACCAACGTAGAGCCTTGCTTATTCGATGTTACAGGTAGGATAGCTGGGGCGCCCGTCTTCGAAAATCCAAGGTGTAGTTACGAGGACGATGCATTATTTGTTTTTAAGTTTGTATTTTGCTAAAACTGCAGTTAACGTACGGAAAAGCCAACGGGGGGGGGGTCGTACTCCCCCCCCCGGTCCCGATGGACGATCGCGGTGTATGATACGTATAAAAAGGTTTCGATAAAAAAAAAGAACCTCTACTTTTATTGGCGCGGGTATTCAGGGGGGAAAAAAAATGACTTATCGAGTCGATACATTCACAGGTAAGTACGTAATAAGTAATATGGGTTTTATACGTGTATAATATAATATTATTGCGTGCTTAAAATTACACTTAAACTACCACTAGAAATATAGGTAATATTGTGATAATATTAGGTACGTGTTTGGTCCCAGGGGAGAGAAGAAGGGCTCAAATCGATTTTCGGCATTTTTTTTTTATTTTTTTTTTTATCCGGTCTTGTGCAATCTGTTTCCCTTTTCCCGGTCTAAATGACACAAGTGCCGCAGCGTGTATTATTATTGTGTTACAGTTGTACGACCTGAGCCGCGCGGATCACGCCGTTTACACATAGCGACAATTCGGCCGTTTCCATGGACATTTTCAAACGTTCAAAATCCGCTGCTGCGGAAAACCGTACGAAACCGAGCGACTCGCGGACACTTTTTCCCCGGGACCAACGCATCGTATTAAACGTGTATACCTAATGCATTGTTATTGTTATTTCGTAATCGTATAAATACCCATGTTGTAACACCCGAACGTGAAATCGCCACGTTTGTCGGTGGGTTTAGCGTGTAGACTGTGGGCAAAGGCTGTGGTAGCGCTGCGGTAAAACGTGTATGGAAATTTATAGGTGTTTTCTCTACCCCCCCCCCCCCCCCCCCCCCCCCCCCCCCCCCCNCCCACCCACCCGATCCCTCACTCTCCGTCTCGCGTCTCTTCGGCCGCGCGGACCACGTCGTCGGCCGCGGCCGGGCCGCGCGCGGTCTTCAAAACACTCTCGACACGAACTTGGCGGCCAGCGCCAAGACGGCCGTCAGGAACACCGTACCGCCCACGTCTATGGCGCCGTTGCAAAGGTCTTTGTCGCACGTGCTGCAGTGTTCGATGCGTACGTTGGCGGGCGCGTTGATGGCGCACGGGCCGTCGTCGTTGCGGCTGTCCGCGGCCCACGCGCACGACCGGATTATCACCAGCTCTCCGTTCACTGTAACAATAAAACGAACCGATCGAGACGTTTGTTAATCAGGTGTCGGGTTCGCTAAAATGCTAAAACGCGACGCGCGCCCGGCATGCTTTGGCGCTTATTCAAAACGCTAACAGTAATGACAATGATCACGTTTGATAATTTCGAATTGGCCAAAATCGACCGAACGAGAGCAGTATCATTTTCGTTTCCCCTCTACCCCCCCCCCTCCCGATTATACTAATAACTGCGCGGTGAAAAATGCATTTGAATTCGTCAAAAAAATTACTCGGGTTATGGCTCTCGCACTCGGTCAATTTCGGATTCAGAATACAATAAGTTAATACGTTATACATCGAAACGATCGATCCGAATTCAAAACAGGGTTACCTACATATTTGAAAAACCAAAAAAAAATAAAATGGAACGTTGTGTTGCGCACGCACAACAGAAACGAATTAATAAAATACATATACGTAATATATATAAATGTATTCTAAATCAGGGGAATTGGTTTAGTTACGCATTCTGCTGCCGGAATTCGAAAATATGTATGTATATTCCTATACACGTGGGGTTAAATTATAGGGTGTATCTACTATGATGACTTTTGTGGACACACGGTGTAATGGTTTTTTTTTTTTTTTTTTTTTTATCATTTTATCAATGTGTAAACTTACCTGCGCTACAATGACCGTATCAAGCCGAAAGTCGATAATAATAATGAGAATAAAAAAACTGAACAAACAATATAGGTACATAGTAATATTATTTAGGTTAGCCCTCCCTAGTTTTTCAAAAAAAAAACAAAACAAAACCAATAGTTTTATACGATCGATAAAAACGAATGTAATTTTGTATAATTACCTACATAGGGTTTTGTGCTATGGATAATAATTATATAGGTGCCTTACATTTTTTTTTTTTTTTTTTTTGTATCATAAAAATATATTTGTATTTTGTAGCGCGATACGGTGCCTGTGTTGTCGTCACAAACATAGAGTACATTGATATAGGTATTTAAAAAAAAAAAAGAAGCTGTCCTAAGATAATAAAGATGGGTGCAGCCACTGTTATAGGTAATTTACTTATAAGCAACGATAAACCAGTGCTAACGAAAAAACGATTCTGAGCGGAGTTCATTTGATAGTGTTGCTTTGTCAACAATATATACGTCATATTATAGTAAAATAATTACATTATATTATATTTTCTTTATAATACTTGTTCAATGTTGTACCGATTTTCTCTTTTCCCTACCATTTACTCGGTTTTCCCATGTTTTTTCCCGGGTCTTTCACATTTGTTGGGAAAACTTTTGGGAAAATCAAAAAATGACCTTCTTAAGTACTTTCCCATTCAGATTTCGTTTCGGACAGTGCTATAATTGTAAATTTGAGCAAAATTGCTGATAGAAAAGTTGTTCGCAGGAAAAAAGATGGCCGTAATATTTTTAACCAATACCTAAAACCAGTACCTTAAAGAAATATTTAAACCTACATAGATACTTAATAATTTAATATTAAGTAATAATTCACGATAATGTTATGTCTTCGAGATAAATTATTATAAATTATATGCAAATGTTCGACGAAAACAACCGATGTAATGTAATTTCCTGCAATCGCGTCCAATATTCTTGTTCTCAGTCTTGTTCTCCAACTCTTTCCTCTTACGTTTATTTTTATTACAATGCTTACCTACTGTTTCAGATTCTTCTCTCCCCGTAACATGCTCAAACCATCTCAGTTTATTCATTTTCTGTAATATCGAAATTGTGCCTATAAGCCACTCTACTCGTTTACCTATAAGCATTCTCATCTCTGCTTCACTTATTTTCTGTTCTATTTTTTTGTCTACCACCCATCACTCCGAACCATATACAACATAGTCGCAACACACTTTTGTAGAATTTGACTCATTGGAATTCTTTTGTCACATAAAACACCTTGCACTTCTCTCCATTTTATACAACCACATTTAGCTTTATGTTTCACATTTTTATGAAAGCCATAATTTTCTGTAGAAAAGCCCTTATAGGTATTTAAAACTCAATCTTACCTATAGTAGCTTATTGTCGTTGGCTGTCTTATCCTGTTCTTCTAGACTCATACTCCATTTTACTTCTACTTAGCCCCTTTCCTTCAAGCGCTACTGTCTGTTTCACAAGCCTATTGTTTGTAATCACACGCCTTTTTGAAGGGGTAAAATCATGTGTTCTTATCATTATTATGGCACCGTACGTAACCGTATTGTATCCAATAATTTCTAACGAAAGACGATTCTGATACCTATGTCGGTAGGTTGGCTGACACACCTAAAAAGGACGTTCGTTAAAAAAAATCTCTTTCCGGCTGCAGTGCTCTAAACAAATGATTGACCAATTATTATTGTACGGATCGTGATGTATACGAGGAGTCTCGAAATCGTTTTTATAACGCATTGACACGTTCACCAAACAATCTATCTACTCGAGAAAATATAAAATTAGAACCTAAATACTCAATGGACTTATATATTATAATGTAGACGTAATAATATGGTAATTACAGATTCGCAACAGTTATAATTTTGGCATCACTGGACCTTAATTTAACCGTTTTAACCAACCGACCAATAATTGTATAGTGAAAGCTAGGCACTTATACACCTATACATGTTCATGCTATATACAATAATAATTCTTAACGAATCTCGAAGAAAACTGTTGTATCATTGATTATAAAATAGACAGTTAGCCCATGGTATAAAGATATTTGATGGCTAAAACTATAGTTATGCGGGTTCCCGTGAGACTGCGCAGTAATATTCTACACAATTGTTTTTCCTCCCAACAATAATAAATATGTACCATATCGATGACGTCTATTCAATAATCAATGGTAGTAGGTATACGCGATTTTTACAATTACAATCGTTATAGATGACTCATAAAGATATACCTACTTATAACTTATAGTTTATAACAATAAATAGGTTTATAATTATTATTTATTATCCCCATAAGGACAATTTAATGTCGATTTTTTGACGGATCGAAAACATTTTATCCACATACAACAACAAAAAAACCGAAAACCTCCAAAATTTCAAATAGCTATAACTCGAGAAGGCCGCAATATTTTGAAAATCGCATCACGTCCAGTTAGGTAATGTCAGTATAACAACTAAGTGAAAATGTGCATGCGATTGTTTTTACTGCAGATGGATTATTACAACAAAAGAAACAAAATCGATTTCAACAGAAACCGTTATTCTGTAAATATTTCCGTTTTCGACATTTTTCTTCCGCTTTTGTTCCATTATTAAGACAATTAGATGTTCACAGGGAAAACACAAGAACCAAAACTCGTGTTGAATTCCCTAATGCCTTCTCTACATAATGGCGTATAGGTTAAATGATGGAAAACATTAAATAGTATTTCATTATCTATCAATTATAAGGACTAATGTCAATTGACGACTTCGTTATAACACGATCAGCGGCCCGAATTTTACCAGTATCCCGTCGGTCCTCAGTCTGCCCCTGTTTGGCATACGACACGCCTACTAAATAATCTATATACAGGCGCTCAGGAATATTTAGAAATTATATATTAAACGTATACACCCGTATAATATGAGAATTTCGATCGAGAAAATAATATTTAATCATCATATATATCATAATATTTTATTCTCACTGTATTCGTCGTAAACTCGTATATTTTCAACAATACAGGTATCTTATTACCCGACGACGTGCGTGCGATTATATCATATTATATGCCGAGGACGAATATAAAGGATACTATATAAGCTATGCCGTGCGTCCTTGTATTATTATTTTATTATAACGGAGAGTCTTCTTTGGATTCCTACATTAATATAAATAATATCAGTGGAGTGGCGAACATATTTAAAACCTCATTTGCATCTATTTATGGAATTTTTTATATAATATTACACATTATATTAATACTATTTGAAAAATAAAAAGTCAATAGCTGATTTATCATCAAAAATAAGGGTGATAAAAATAAGTACAATGTAAAATTTTAGAACACAATATGATAATAAAATGTTATAATAAGTCATTTATTGGACAAATAAGTTATTCATGAACAATAAATTTGACTGTAATGTGCAATTTTAAAGACCCTGTACATTGCTACAGGAATTATATTATGTTTTTTCAGTGGCGTATTTTCAATTTTTACATGGAACGGTCTAGAGATTAGAACAGTGACACATATCTATCGGAATTTAGAGGTTTATTAGGGGCTTTATCGTAACTTCATATCGAACCGCAACTGGGAAACCGTTGTCGCAATGACACGAGACTATATGAAGGGTTTAGGGAAAAAAACCCAGAAGAGTCATTTTTTTTTCCAAAATGGCGATATTAGTATCAAACAATTTTTATTATTGATGTACCATATCTTTTACGAGATCGAACCGGCGAAAAAAACAGATTATTCGATAGTAATAAGTGCCAAAAGTTAAGGCCTACAAGAAAAAAACAGTTACTTATGTCGGTAACCAGACAAGTGTTGGGTTAATACACGGCTAAAGCCATGGTTAATATAATTTAATATGACATTATTATGTTGTGGTTACAACATTTCAAAGTGTAACATTAAACTTAATCCGAACATTTTACTGTATAAACAAAAATTATTACGTTTTAAAATTAAAACTACGTTCAAACTGTGAAATAGTTTGAAAAAAGTGACTTCTCTGGTTTTTCCCTGTGCTCTTTATATGTGTATTTTAATTAGCGCAATAATTACTTAACATACTTCACATAGGCACCTAACCTACCAATGTTGTAGGGACATTTGTCTGATCTGATTGTTTTTACTCTGCCCCCTGCACCCTTGGACCCTTCTTCTTCTTCTTGCTTGTTGTTCGATTCCGAACGTCGTGACTTCGATGCAGACATATTATTTAGTTCAGGTTTTATTTTTAATTATCTGAGGCGGCGGCAGCGGCCTAGTAGTGAACTATGCATCGGTATACCTGACGTAAACGTGTATAAAATGTGCATCTCTAAGTAAGTATACCATATGTATATATATATAATATTATCAAATACGATTCGGTCGATGCCGCGAAATCGCTCCGGTTCGGTACGCGCAGTGACGATCCCGTGACAATGTGCCTCCCCGTGTAAATCTCGAAACGAATCGATCGACGGATATATAATGAAGTATGCTTAATAATATCTACGGAACGGATAAGGGGTAGGGGGGAATGAAACAAATTTAAAATCGATGAGATAATCACAAAAAGTGATGCTGAAGTGACGTAAAAAAAAAATAATAATAACAGATTTCAGACAGGCGGTTTACTTTATACAAAAAAATCGTGTAACGGCGGGAAAATTGGAGAAAGCCCCGATTACCGCTGTTTGACGGCATAGTATATTATACAGTATTATACTCTGAAAACGGTTGCCTAAGCTGATAAAATATTGGAATACTGATCTACTGCTCAAAATCGGCGAATACTACACGTATAGAGATCTGAAAATTCAGTAAACTAAATAATATAGCTGGGTGGGTTGTGAGTTATATTATAATCCCGAGACTTAAAGCGATATCATACGATTATAGTATAACCTATGGAAATAATATTATTATTTTGATAATAATAGGTTTTGTTTCATTTCAACGAATGTTTAACCGAACATTGCTCAGAATCGAATTTCGTTATCAATGATTTATCGTCATGTAGAGATATAAATGAAATATCTTTAAGTATTCTACATTCCCAACCTCTCAAAATAATGGCACACCCATTAGCCAAAGTACACCCAAAGTAATTTTGATTTTCAACGAAATGAGAAATGTGATGATTTTATAATGTTTATTTTTTAAAGTGTAGCACTTTTTCTGAAATGAAATTTTATCTGGGTTATATTTTAGGGAGGTCATTTTTTAAATTTTTTGGGGGTTTCATAATATATGGGAAAAATTTAGAAAAAACGTAGGAAAACGAGACAATTTACGAAATGTATTATTTTTAATATTGTTTTATTGTTGTGATTCAGTTAAAAATATTTTTAGAGACTTGAAATTTAGATAGAACAATTATATTTGACTTTTCTAGACGTGGTAAATTTTTAACAAATTTCAGTAATTGTTGAGCTATTTATAGAAATTTTAATTTTGCGAGTTTTTGATGATGCTTAAAAATTTAACAGGAGGCTCATTATAAGTCGTACTTTGTAGTCGAAAAAAAAATTGAATGTAATGTAGAATATTTTTTATATGAGTATTTGAATACTAAATTTTGACGAAAATCGTAAATATTACAGCCTTTCAAAACATGTATAACCGAACTTCGCTTAGAATCGTTTTTCGTTAGCAATGATTAATCGTTGCGTACAGATATACATTAAATCTCCCTTAAATCCTACCTTCCTAACGTCTCACAACAGTGGCCCGCCGATCGTCTGAAGTATGCCCGTCTTTTTTGGTTGATAAATCATACCTACACAATATTTTGCGATTTTCATTTTCCCTCGCGTATAGACGTTCCGTCGAACCACAAACGAGTGAAGATTGCTCCGTAGCCGTAAGTATTTTATGAAACTCTCACCGACTGATAGAATAAAAGAGTACCTGTATCGATGACTGCAGCATCAGGTGCGATAGATCCGAAGAAAAAAAATCTAATACGAACCGACGAAATAATAACCGCAAATGGCGTGAAATGATAATACGAAAAAACATGAATCGTAAGTATAAAGAGATGTTGAGAATTTAGGAAAATGTTTCGAATAAAGTACCGTCGGACAAAACAAAAAATTCATCGTCTTTTAAAGTATTGCGTGAATAAATTGGAGCATTTTCGTTAACCGAATAAGTGTTTTCCGAGAGAAAAAAACACATCTTGGTAAAACTACTACGGTGTACGCGGGTTCTGTGCTACTCTCAGAATCTAAAAATAATTCACTAAAACATCTCGGAATTATTTTTCGGCGTACATTGTTACTTCATATTGTAGTGTTTTTTCGTTTCTTCTCCTAAAAGCTACGAATGGTCTTCAATGCAGTTGTAACGATAATATCATAATAACCGTGATGTAATACTCAAACATCTCGGCGGCAAGACGACGTCTGTTTTCGATCGTTCATTCGTTTCGCTGTTACGCGTATGTATGTATATTAGTAACTAGCCGCGTGTACTACTATTTATATTGTTATTATGTTTTCATTCCGCAAACTTGTCATTTTGTTGTCGTTACACTATTGTGCTATAATAAACGCGAACGGCGCGACAATCGGTAACGGAAACTGAGCATTTTATCGTTTTTCAGTCGAAATTACTGCAGCACTCGATCCGGGGGTTAAAAAAATACCTATGCGCAATTGTGGGAACTAGGGGGTGCTTACAACAATCAAATTTTTGTTCATCCCCCCCTCCCAATACATTTATATACACTTATGAGTATAACAGAAGTATAACTTATACAGTTATACTTCTGTGTTCACTTTTTTTATTGTTATAAATATTTGAAAAGTTATAAAACAGTACAGAATGTATATAAAATACTGTAATTTTGGATTTAAGGCTGTCTTAGTGGCCTATTACATAAAATATAAATATTATGGGGGTTGAGATAATCTTGGTGGGCTGAGGGGGAACCCTATACATTTTTTGTATACAAGGTAATAAAAATACACAAAACCCTGTTATAAACGAATTCCAAAGTTTTCCATGAACACCAAACATAATTTAAGTATTCCGAGTTCAGTTTTATTTTTACGACATTTCGTAAGCAGAGTTTTTTCGGTTGACCTCTCATTGTCACGAACTTGTACGATGGACTTAATGTAAGCGCTATAGCCATTTAGGACAGTGTCAATAATAATAACAACCTATGCAGCGGGTATTGTAATAATTTGAATTAAAATTATTTTACCACAAATACGAATGACCGCACACATACATCACGGGTTTAAATATTTTGACCCACATAATAATATTACTGTATTTAATATTTAGGTAACGTAGTATAAAAGTACATCATCCACGGACTTCACTCTAATCGAATGTCGTAATAAAACAAATTAAAAATCATATAAGTATTGTAAGTATTTGTGACAATATTGTTCTTAATAGAGAGCTACCGCATAACCATAAAATTCTAAGGAGTAGTATTTTACAAACAATTAATATCTTACAAGAGAACAAAAATAGAAAAAAGACGGACATACTTCGATTGATGGGTTGGGAAGGTAGAGGGGAAATTAAATGTATATCTTGTATATATTTTGAAAGGCAGTAATATTAACAATTTGAAAATAATACATTTCGTAAATTTTCCCGTTTTTCCTAAGTTTTTTTTCCAGTTTTTCACATTTATTATGAAAACGCCTAGGAAAATTCAAAAATGGCATTGTTAGTAAAGTACTATCTCACAAAAATGTCCATTCACAAAAAGTAGTAAACTTGAAAATCGGAGCAAAATTTCTAGTAAAAAAGTTGTTCATAGAAAAAAAAAAAAAACATTATTGTGAAACGAAAAGAGCTGATACTAGTACTCATACTGAGGACATGTGTACTACTGATGTAGGTGGAAGGTTGAGAAGGTAGAATACATACAATTATTTAATTTATATCTGTATTACTAACGATAAATCATTGCTAACAAAAACCGATTCGGAACTGAATCACAAAAAAAAAAAAGAAGAACAAAATTGAAACTAATGAATGCATTATTTTCGTAAATGTGTCCGTTATTTTTACGTTTTTTCGATTTTGCTTAAAAATTAAAAAAACTACAGGAAAAATTAATATCAGACATTCCTACACACAAAAATACGACAAAAAAGATTCATTGTTGTTTTTATATTTGAGCAATAATTCTAAAGGAAAACGTCGTGCGTAAAATTTTAAAATTATAAAAACATACACGACGTAAATTGGTTCGATTTCATTTTTCGTCTGTTTCTTGTTTTTTCCGATTATTATGAAAACTAAATAGAAAATCAGAAAAACTCTTTCTTCGTGAGCAACAAAATCCAAAATGCAACAGAAAAGGTTCTATGCAATTTTTGATTAAAGCAATATTTTTAGTAGAAAAGTTGCTCACATACAAAAAAAAAATTACATTTCTTAGTAAAACCAATACTAAAATCCTTCATTACGCTCGGAATCTAAAAACAAAACTAATTTTGAAAATATTTACCCTCCCACTGCAATCGTATTTTTAACCACTCCATGATTATGATAATCGCAAGGTAGTTCTACCTTGTTTTACCAGATTTATAATCCGGTAGTTTAAAATTCGAAAATGTTTTTCATTATCATATTATATTATACACCTATTAAAATTTTGCACGCCCGTTGTAGGTACATGAGTATGCATATATTGCAATTTTCATAATACAGTTATAATCGAATTATCATTCCTATTTAAAATATAGTACTCGCATAATATTATATCATAAAATACATCAGGTATAATATTTAAACATTAGGAAATTAAATAAATTCGTTTTTCTCTAACTATAATATATTTTTGTATTTTATTTTTTTTTTAATAACACCAAGTGGCAGTTGTATAAGTATATAACATAATTTTTTTCCCATACCAGAAATTAAATATTACTTAGACTTTACTTTGACTTAGAAACTAACAAATTACAGATAAAGGGCAATTATGTATACAAATAAAACTATCAAAAATAATAAACTAAATTAATATTATTTAAACTTAAAGCTTCAAGGCTATGAATATATAATTTCTAAACAGTGTTGTTTTACAAATAATTTTATATCGTTATTTAATTGAATTTACTATAAAACATGTGGTTATATGAAATGGAATTCACTTGACTTTCTAACAAGTAGTATACTAGTACAATAGTATGCAAGTACATTATTTTTAATCGAAAATAGATGAAATAGATAGGTATATCGAAGTTTTTTTATAACAATAGAAAACAGCTAATATAAACACTATTATCAAGTGGATCGTGAAAAATAAATAAATAGGTAAGTGTACAAATGGGTTTTTTTAATTTCTTCAACAATTATAGTGTTCAAGACCATTATAGATTAACAATATTTAACATGGAAAACGTTCGATAAATATTAATGGTATTATAATCCATTCAATTTTTTATGTAAATATTACTAAGTCCCTATATAAAATTATACAATCAAACTAGCGAAAGCAAAACCATTAATTTCTATAATAGATCGATGTTATTATCTGATGATAAATATATTAAACTATTATATCTATTTAGTATTTACCTAGGTTTATAATATTAGTATTTCAAAAATTTTGTTAGTGGAATTTAAAAAAAAATAAATCGTGGGCAGTGTTCTTATAGGTAGACTGTAGATAACTTTTGTAAATGGAAAGTTGATATGGATGTATAGAATAAAAATTTAGTTTTTTAAACTACGACAGATTTGATTGAACTAACGATAAGTCATTGCAAAACATAACTACAAAATAAACTACAATTGTACGTATTTTTAACGAGTTAACTTATAAGTTTGATAAAAAATAAAGTTCATCATCATATAGCACTTAACTTTTGTTTTACTTTTAAGTAAAACCTATGATAAATCTTTAATCAAATTGTTGAGTTTTTTTGTCGAGCTAACAAAATTGTATTCACATAAACCAAAAATACACGAGTATGTACCGCGTAGCAATAATTATCAAAATGTTAGGTACTGTTTATAATTATTTTCATCCGAATATCTGAACTTCAAAAAAAAAAAAACTAACCAAAAAAGTTATTATTTCTAGAACAATTCCTGCGGAAATATTCGTAAATTATAAAATTATGATGGTGGGTACCGACCATCGAAGTAAATAATTACCTTATAGGTAATGCGGTATTGGGACAACACGCGTGAATTATACCAGTGAAATATTTAATTCAACGTGCGTTTTCAGGGGTGTTTCGGATTTAATATTATACATGTGACATTGCGACCTACATTTGAAAATTATTATAGCATAATATATTGTATACGGATGTTTATCTTACCCTATACCTATATCTGAAATAAAATGTAAATAAATTATTGTTACCTGCCGACATTGAAATAATGAAACAAGATAACGAGAAGAGCTAATATTTTATTAAGTAGCTTTACCTACGGTTTTTTGGAGAAAAGTGTACAAATTATTAAAAATACATATGGAAAAAAACGACGATTATGTAGCTGGAGCTGTGCTGTAGCTAGGGGGGGTTAAGGGCTTAAATTTTGAAGTTATATATTTTTTTTTGAAAAAAGCGGAATGTAAACACATGTTTAACGTTAAACAATAATGTTGAGAAGGACATTTTTTTTTACTTAATTATTTTTTTTCTGTACAATTTAATGAGCCATGAAATTCTTGGGCGGGTTAAAAATAACAATAATAGGGAGCATAGCCCCCAAGCCTCTAAATAATACTACCTTAGCTCTAGCAATAAAATATTCTAGCCCTCCCCCCGAAAAATACTTCCGGCTACGGCATTGCATTACACGCAACTAGGCATTGTAGCTAAATTTTGATTTATCGCTTATCGAAAATATAAAATAGACAATATAACCATGTTTCATACTATGCAGTCGAAATAAAAACGTCCGCAGTAAAACAGATGACGGTGACACACTATCGCGTTACGGCAGAATTTTACGCGTTTGTTCTCTTTTGAAATACGAGACCGAATACCTCTAAGGACCTCAGGATGTTCATTCTGTTCAACTGCAGCAGTAAGCGCGCGATCTCTACTTTCAAAATAAAATACTATACACAACTGCTAATCGTTTACTTTTGTGTTCTTCAAATATACCGTAATTGTTGAAAAATACGTATGTTAAAATTGTATGTACAGGCAACAAAACTATTTCCGGTAAACGCACCCACGGATTGTCGTACGTCGAATATCTAATTGATCCGTTAATTTATGATGGAAATCGCAATTTTTTTTTTAGCCGACAAAACATTATTTCGTTACGGCTTGTTTCAAAAATCTCCATTCAAAATTTATGTATATGACGTATAAATATTCATAATTTAAACGTTGCGGGTGGGCACAGACAAACTGGAATTTCCGGCCGTGTTTCGTAGTCGGTCCTTACAAGATACTATACAAAGGACTTCGAAAACCAACCGAAAGGTTAATAACAATTAACCGAGGCAATTAATGCCGTCCATTGTGTCTTAATTTAATTGCAGAACAACACGAGTTTTTAATATGATGAAAGCTAAAAAACACCCAAATACGAACGATACGTCATATTATTGTTATTTGTCTATTATAATTTAAAGTAATTTGGACGTTATAATGGTACAATCAATTAAGCAATACGTACCTATATCAAAAGAATTAAACGAAAATCAAGTCAATTTTTGGTTTTTTTTTTTTTTATAAAATTTTGTCTTATCCAATAATAATTGCGTTTAATTATTAATGTAAAAATAAAAATACATTTTTAAGATTTAAATAATATAATGTACAGACATTATGCGAACGAATTGTTTTCTTTTTGAAAGTTATACCTAGTGCTTATTATGAAAATCCAAAACAACATATAGTCGTCACGTGTGAATTGTTGCTGGACGAAAAACGGATTGAGTTACATTTAGGTATATAAAGCCTGTATACATAACTAGTACTTCGATGACGGCTCGTAAGCTTTATTATGAGAGGTGAGGCCAATTTTTTGAAAATTACGGACGGAAGGGGATATTAAGTTAATATACAAGGAGAAACGAATAAATCATTATATACTATACCAAAAATAAAAAGTTGATGTGCGTTGATTGCTATAATTTTTTTTTTGATTTTAAAAGATTGTATATTTATAACGAACTAAGTACTTACTTAGGTATATTTTTTAATTAGACAATAATATGTATATGTTGCAGCGCCTTGTAATTACCTCACCTGTTTTACACGTGCGTGCTTATGTGATAACAATATTATATCAGTAGGTACCTAATTATGTTTTTTTTTTTAAGTATTATTAGTGCGTTTTGCGGAATATGATTTTTTAAAAAAAAAACCATCATAAACGTCGTAGATACCTCTTTGTTTCTGTTTCTTGCATACGGGCTTTAGAAAAGCCGAATGCGGTGCTCTGCTACAATCCTCAATCGCGGTCTTCGTCATGTTCATTGGGTCGTTGCAACGTTGGTCCGTGTCCGTGGAGCAAACCCAACAATTGATCGCATCGCCTGTTTATGACAAACGAAAATGAATAAACTACAGCTAACCAAAACGATTATAATAACGTTATAAATTCAAAATGCACATCATTGAAGCCAGAGACGACTGCAGGGATTAGCTTAAGTCAATTTTTTTTTTATATACCATTTTATTGTGTGCAATTTTTTCCCCTTTTTCATTTTTTGGTCAAAATTTCAAAAGTTTACACGTTTAAAAAGTTAATGTATGTAGTATATTAGTTTACGAATAGGTGAAAACCCTACAAAATTGACTTAAGCCATTTTCTCTGGGACCAAAATATACATGCAGATTAATGCTTACTGTAGTCCGGTAACAAACTGAAGAAGCCTAACGCGATGACGACGATCATGTAAATATGACAGCGAATCATGGTGTAATTTATTTATTAGTATTTAAATGTATATTGGTAAATTATTTGCAAATAGTCGAAAATAATTTAATATAGAGAATAAAAACTAAAAACTGTCCTTTTAAATAAAAAAACCGTTTTATTTTTTTTTTTTTTAAACGAGCGTTTTTAGAATTGATATTGTAGACACGAAGCGCAGCGCAAGACTGATCGGTTGACGAGATCGTAAACAACAATAACTACGATCATCGAGAACGTTTGATGGGAAAGCTATCCGCTCCCCACCCCGCATATATTTCTCTCCGCCCCTTGTCACCACCACTATGTACACGTAAATTTTGTATAAAATATAGATGGTGGCTTTTTTTTTTCTGCTGCACTCTACACTATATGACGGCATGCACTATATAACTGCAGTTAACAGTTCCAACGGATGTTCACGACACCGATCTCTTCGACGTATATATACGCTAGAACGTATACAGGTATACAGGTGAACGTGTGTCGCACAAGTTAGCGTAAGTCATAATATAGATATGCCTATAAACTAATATACTATTTAGGTTATTGGTACACTGTACACTATACCGGTGATGTATTCGTAACAACTAACAAGTATGTTACGAAAACCTACCGTTTTTGTTTTAACAGAGTCTAATATACGTGCAATTGTTGTAACGGTAATTTTAAACGCCAAACCGCGTATAAAACGCATATTATATAAAATGCATTATTATTTCGGCGGTCCCTGGGAATAAGGGCTTCCGTTAATTTTAGATTATAGTTTTCGACGCGAACAAAATAAATTTTAAATGTGTATAGTATACACTTGCAGTTGTATACACTGATACACTATGTTCACTCATTTTGGAAATACATTCATTAGCGGATCCTAAAGAGAGCGGCCCGAGGGGCCTTCCCCCCCCCCCATTGGCCTAAGTGAATTTTTATTAATTCAAAAGTCATAGGTTATTTTGTATGAACTATTGTTATTATCACTGAATTTTGGACTATGGGCCCGCTAAAATTAAATCCTGGATCCACCACTGAATACATTACACACTCTTATGTAACAAAAAACAAACGGAATAAAAATATATTACTTTCATAAAAAAAGTCCTTGTTCCTTGGGACCAGAGATTTATAATATTATTAATAGGCGGTGCCTTCAGTAGAATTGCTTTTATTTCATATAATCAATACACATTAGCGTTGAAAACACGTAGGAATACTTATTCATTATCCGTAAATCAAAATTTAGTAACAAGTACAAGTAACTCAAATAAAAGTATTTCAATACTTTATTTTTGTATTCGAATACTATACATATTTCAAATGATTTTCGAAAAAAAAAAATATTAAAATACTTATTCTGAATAACTATTTTTTTTTTTTTTTTTTGATTATTATTCACTAAATAATAAAATTTATTCTAAATCTGAAAATAGTTTTAAATTCGTGATAAAATAGGGTTTTGGTTTCTTAAATTGTATTTTATAGAATCGTGCAATAAACGCGATGATCATACTTAGCTTATTTGTGCTAAATTGAAATCCATTTGTGATATTATGATTATTTTAAAACATTAAAACATCGTGTTTGTCTAACGATCGCGAGTGATGTAAACAAATATAATGTTGCAAATATATCCAAATATTTCTACAACCATTTGAGTATGTATTCTGAAAAAAAAATCTATTTTTTATAAGACTGTTAATATAGCAGTATAAATAAACGCATTTTTAAACTAGATAATTCGTTCGATTTTGTCTTTGTGATTATATATATATATTAGGTAGGCAAATAAATAATTCGATGCATTTGAACATCTACTGATTATTATATGGATTTCAAGTTTCTGTGTAACATAAATTACGAAAACACAAAAAATAGGCACAGTGTCTGTTGGACTTGTAAACGCAAGGCGTCGTTTAGAAAAAATAAGATTTCTGCCGGTGATTTTTTTTTTGATTCAATACATTCTATAACCTATAAACATATGATAATCAATAGTAGGTAAATAACGTACACACAGTGATGAAGCATTTAGAAAGTTTTTTTTTTCAAATATTATTTTTTTTATTTAAAAATGTTGCATTTTTGCAGACGTCATAATTTTATACCATGATCGTAAGATTTTTGGAAACGAATTGAATGTGCGCTTATAATAATAAAGTCGAATAAAATATTTCGGTTAAACATCTCGTAGAGAATTTCACACAGAAACAGGTTTTATTCGAATAAATTCACAATATTACTGTGCACATAGTCAAATATTAATATTTAATTTTGAAAATCATCGTTTTCGATTCATTTCAATTTATACGGGGAAAAGGAATCAGCGAAGCGTATATAACATTTCATAAAATATATTGAATTCCCTAGAGATATATTTAAATCTATAATGTGATACATTTTATTGTTCAAATATTAATTAATCCACTATACACGTAGTTAGTTTAAGTGCATGGCATATTAGACGATAAAAGGTGAACAAAAACTACAATTTTATCAAAACATGGCATCTAAAATAATACACGGGGGCGTAAAAAACCTTGATAATTGATTTTATGACGAAGATAACACTGTTTTTTAGTAAATGTGATAAAAATTGACGTATTGCGCTATAAATTTAATGTGTTGGCAAAATACGCAAATTCTGCAAAGTACGTTAAACAAAAATAAATAAATACAAAGACGATATTTTATATTTGGAAACGTTTACAGAGGATACTATAGGATTGACCTTATAGATGCAAATTATTTTTGGTGAACAAATGCAACTTGCAAATGCTTGAAAATTCAATATACGGTTGTTCATAATATGTTATTCTTATACGGCATTACACAAAAATATACTAAAATGCTTAGTCCTATTTTTTTTTTTTTAAACATTCTGAAGAAATTTAGTGAAGTTAGAGAAGTTAAAATTTCCCTCGGAATCGTTTTTTGTTTGCAATAATTCATCGTTGCGTACAGATGTAAACTAAATTACTTTATATATCTTATTTTCCAGCACTTCCTATTCACAAATGTAATCCATCCACCATTGTTAGTATCAGCTTTTGTCTTTTGAATCTGAGGAGTTTACCACCTGTAGTCCACCCTTTCTCATACAGTAGTCTCTATGTATTTTACTTGTATAGGTAAATCTATTACCCTTATATTATGACGTGCTCGTTTATACGAGCTCGTGTTAAAGGAATGAATATTGTATTTTGGGAAAGCGTTAACTTAAATGCTTAATAAAATCATCATCACGTGGCACACGTGCCCGGTAAAAGGCCCCGGAACGAAATATCACAATTAATATTAGTAAATTATTTTAAGTTTTAACTACCTGTATGACTATATTTTCTACAGGTAATTGAAATATTTAAGTATACCATAACTATAAAATATAGTAACATTACCATAATAAACAACTATAATTATATCATTTTAATCATTTCACAATTAAATATAGTTATATTAACTATATGATATATTGTTCAACTATGATTTTTTAATAATTTTTGTTTTTGTAACTTTTTTTAACAATAAATTATTATTATATTTGAAAAGCTGTGGAGAAAAACGACCATAGTCAATATTTCCAAATTTTTCAGTATCGCACTTTTTCCCGTTTCCGCTCAGACTATGATTTCCCTTTGCCGTCATCGGTATTTTTATAATTTTACTGTAGCACGTACCATGATGCTTTGATGCATGATCTTTCTTTCCTAACTCGATGCATAAATTCATTCAGGAATAAATCATAAGATAATGTAACTATTTTCATTTTGATGACCGACTGACTATAATCTCGTTTTTGTCCACAACCCTCCATTTATTAGTTGTGAAAAAAAATATTACTTACTTATTAGTATATAGGTACTAATTTCACGATGATGAATGATGATTATCTCCGGGTTAGACCGCGGCAGTTTAGATTTATGCGACATAATAATAATATGATAATGTGTAATTTATTATCCGAGAGCAGCACTTTTAGTTACCCGCACCAGAATACGGATTACTCCACACATAAACTTTAATAATTTCAGTTGACCCGGTCCAATTGAACCCAATCGTGAATAAGCAAACGGATTCCGGAAGTACGTGGTATACATCTTTCCGCATTTATACTTGATAATATCCTATTAAATTATTATTTCCATCGGCATAATATTTTTTTAATTGGGCGGTAAGTGAAGGTTAGGTTAACGGTGAGATGAGCGATTTTAAACCTATATTGTGGCGTCGTATTGTACAATATTATAATATAAAATGTCCGACGAATACCCATTGCAATATCTCTTGAGATAATAAAGATAATCGATTTTTTTTTTTTTTATATTACTCGCAGGTATAAGGGCTACCTACAAATATTTATGTTTGATTTAACTTTCTATGTTTTGGTAAAAAAAACTAAAAAAATAACTTTTTATTTTATAATTTTATGAATTTCGAAAAATTTGAAGATAGCCATTTTTTAAAATGTATACACTTCTGCAAATTTTGACGCATTAACTTTTTATTTTCATTAAATTAATGATTTTTATAACATTTTTTAAGTTCAGAAAAAAGTACCCACCTATAATTTTGCAGCAGGCTCTAATCGCATTCACTAGGTAATGTAATTGATTATTATTATTATGGCTAATTATTCATTGTATCAACATTTTTTTTCTCTGAACTTGTAAAAATGTATTAAAAATGACGAATTCAAGTTGAAATATCATAATTTTCAGAAGAATAAAATCTATAAAATGGCTATCTTCAAATTTTTCAAAACTAATAAAATAATAAGTTTTTTTTTATTTTTTACGAAAACATAAAAATTAATTAAAACATAAATATTTGTAGTCCTTGTCCTTTTGAGTAATATAACAAAAATTGAATTTGATTATTTTTATTATTCCTGTTGTAATATTTTCGCAAAACACTCTGTATGTTACAGGTAATGTTGTAAATTCGGTTATTGTAGTTGTGTCTATACTTTAACCGATTTTGTACTATTGATTATGAGTATTAGAGTAAATTGTTAAATTTGTATAGATTTTTTTTATAATTTATTTTTCTAATGAGTTACGAATATGTGAAATAAACTGACTTAAAAATTAAAATATCGAAAACAAAACTAACGTGCAAATATACACAACGGTTTTAACTTTAAGTTTGTATATAAACAGTTTATAAACTAATACAATCATATTATTAAAACTCACAGCATGAAATCGGTTTTTATAATATATAAATCACAAA